AGGGCATGAGAGGATTTATGAAACAAGCGGACCTCGTTGTCCACGCGCGCGGGCGCGGAGCCCGTGCCCGCGGCCGAGAAGTCGGCAAGGCTCGCCCCCAGCAGCAGCACTTTGGACGTGGGCGTCGCGTCGCACAGCGCGGCCGTGAGCACCAGGCGCGCGGAGAGGAGGACGCCGGAGCACGGCGACTTCCACGTGGCTGTGGATTCGTTGTACGTGAAGATGGCGGCCAGGTACGGGAGCAGGTTGGGGGACGCGCCGTCGCCGTTGAAGATGCGCGACAGGGAGGGGAGCGTGCGAGGTGGGTCCTGGGAGAGCCTCACCGGGCAGCGGTCGGACCGCGCGGAGGCCGTGGAGAGGCGCGACGGGAAGGGGGAGAGGCCGGAGAGGGCGGCGCAGGCGAGCGGCGCGAGCAGCGCTAGAAGGATGGCCGCGGCCGCAGCGCGCCGGGCGGGCGGGCAGATCATGTCGGGGGGGCGAGGGGGCGGGGGGGGCGCGCAGGGATGAGTGTGATTGCAAAGGATGGTCTTCAGGCCTTGTCAGGGAGAGAGGGGGGCAAGGAGATGGCGCGGGAGTTGCAATGCGGGCATGGCGCGCATGACAAAGGTCAGTGATGTAGCCACCGATGAGGGAAGGTAAGGAGGGGGAACTAACAGGAGCTTATTGGGGAGTAGGGGCATAGCGCGCCTCTCGCTCTTGAGACAGTAGGAACTACCGGGTAACAAGCTCCCGTGATTGGGTAATGACCCTGCTAGCTTCGGAGTAGGATCCTAAACTTTTTTAATGCTATTCCACCATACCCACTTCGCGGCATCGCATTCAAGGTCCGTCGGCGTTAAAAATCATCCTGCTTGACCTCCACACTCCGCCTGCTGCTCTGGAAAGGGCTCGCTGATTGAAGAATAGGAAAGAAGAAGGCCGCGATGCAATTATTATATATGGTAATATTTCATTGGCCAGATCTAAAGGTCTAAGGAGGGTCTAAGGAGGGTTAGATTAGAGTTTTTCGGACATGGTGCAGTACGCTTCCGCACAGGTCTAGGTAATCTATTCGAGTGTCACCTGCAGCAGCAAGCCTGATGTCGCCAGAACCCCCCCTCACTCTCTAGAGGAAGAGGAATCCAGTGTTACAGTGCTGTACCTACCGTACGTCTACACCTGGACATGATAGCACGGCTATCAAAACTTGATAGGCACGGCTATCAAAACAACGCAGTCTAGTTCGTGTTTTCACCTATCAAGAGAGTACAAGGGTCACTTTATTTAGAACACTTTCTACATACTGGAGGTGAGACGGTTGGTTCCAGGCGAGGATAGAAGAAAGATAGTCACTCTATTTCGGCCGCAGCTTTGATAAGTTTTGTAACTGTTTTGAGCTTGCAGTAAATACAGTAAAATTTTCCTTCTATTCATCGCAGCAAATAGCGTTCGTGTAGTATAATGGTTAACCAAGCCGCTGTATATTTCGCTGTCACCGAAGAGATCCGGGTTCAATTCCCGGCACGAGCTTGCTGTCAAAGTTTTTTTGGGCACCTGAACTTCAGGCATGCTTTGCATTCGCTGCCTGGGAAACGAGAAAAGCAACGTGCACCAGCGCGAGGGTCGCCAAGTTGGCGTTTTTCTTTCGCAACCGTTAACTCCAACTCTGCGCACAGCCGTGTTCTTGCATGAGTCTGAAACGTAAGGCAGTAGACACAGCCCCCGCCAGCGCGGGATATAGCATGAGCCTTGACTATTTTTTGGAGTGCGCAGGGCTACAATAGATACAACTTTGGTGCGTTCCAATGGGCTCTGCACATACAATGGTAGCCACTGGAAACTATCGAACGCCACTCCACTTGCCGCCGGGTGAGAGAGGATGTATCGTCGAGGGGTCGCGTGGAAATTGTGCAGAGAGGACGACGTACGGCAAACGCCTGAATTCGTATCGCACGCTTTCGATGCTCCTACTGAACATCGGCGTTGCGCATTGGCATTCTTGACTGCTCTATGTGCCGAATGTGCGCCCCTGTTCTTCTAATCGGTATCAAAAAAGAGTGGGGACAGGCATATCAATGATGCAAGGCAGTAATCGTTGTGGGTGGTACTGCAAGCACAACTCCAAACTCCAAACGGAGAAACAAGGCGAGGAGACTCGGTCAACCTCCCAGGTTGGCTGTTGCCCTTTGTAGAAATCGTATATTGTAACGGTAATGAAAGGCAAAAAGAGCAAAAAAGAGATGTAGGGATTTCCCATGCGGGGCTTGAACCCGCGATCTTCCCGGTGAAAGCGGGACATCCTAACCACTAGACCAATGGGAACTCTTCCTGATGATGTTGGGGAGGGAAACCTCATAGGATTTATTCACAAAGAAAAGAGTCGACAGACGGCAAAAAAGCGCACCCTAATTTTTAGATAAATTTTGAGGGTCTACCCATGTGTGCTCCAAACTGTAGCATTATATGCGGGAGAGCGTGGAGCACATCGGCACAATATCACTGCATTACTCTTTGTGTAGGAGGTGCATGTGTGGCGGTTATCTAGAGGAAGGGTGTGGTGTGTTGGTAGTGCGTGCGGTCAGTACAGTAGGTACCGAACGGTACCCTTTCGGTACCCCTCAATAGTTCGCCCCCTTGCCAGGATCCGCAGATACGAACTATTATGCTCGCCTTGCTGACAGTTTTAGGGAGGGCGGTGGCGACCATAACGGTCTATATCAGTACACGTGTGCAGGGAGAAGGCTGACATCGTCCGAAAGGCGAACTACTGTACAGTATTGACTTGCGTAAACTATTGAGGAGCCCCCCCCCCCGTACCCTTCGGCACGTACCCTTCAAGGGTAAATTTACGTGGTGTGTCTCATGCGGCTCATGGCCTACAGAAGCAGGGCGCAATGCGGAGACCGGATGGGACGTGGCACAAAACAAAAAACCGTGCTTACAGCGCCTGCCAGCTCGATGCGGACGAACAGCGGCGTGACAGCACGGCGGGCCTTACAGGCATACCAGATCGGGAGAGAAATGAGGATGGGCGCACGTAGCGTGCACAATAATGCCGCACTTGCTCGCGGCAGGATACCTCAACGGGCGTCGCATTGCTGTCCCGCGCGAAGAAAACAGACCCGCCCCTTCCCAGCATCCCTTTTCTCCCTATCCCATCCACACGTGGCCCACTCTGCGCCTTACCTCGCCGCCATCCGAAACAGACATCAACCACCGCCCTCTTCTAAACGCCCCACTAACTTCCTCCCGCTTGCTCCTCCGCGGCACCTCCCCCCCCCCCCCCCGCCGTAACACGCTGGATGCCCACCCCCCCCGCGCTCCGCGCGCTCCTCCTCCTCCTTCTCCTCCTCCCCACCTCCCTCTCCCTCTCCCTCTCCCTCTCCCTCTCCCCTCCCCCCTCGCTCTGCCGCCCGCGCGGCCCGCGGCTCCGCTTCTCCTCCCTGGGCGCGCCGCGCGCATCGTTCGTGCTGCCGCCGGTCTGCCTCTCGCGCGCGCGCCGCGCGCTGCGCCAGCTGGTCCAGTGTCCAACCGTGCTCCCGCAAGTCGCGGCCACACGGGAGCTCACGCCGCGCATCGTGGGCGGCACCGAGCCGCACCCCTCGCTACAGTCGCACATGGTCGCCTTCGTCAGGTCCAGCTTGTTCGTCTGCTCCGGCTCGCTCATCTCCGCACGCTGGGCCATCACCGCCGCCCACTGCAATATCAACTCCGACTTCCGCGTCTCGCTCGGCTCGACCCACGTCACGGACGGCGTCACCCGCAAAGTCGCCAGGGTCTTCCGCCACCCGAGCTACAACCCCAAAAGGCAGGACTCGCCGTACGATATCGCCTTGGTCCTGCTTGATGGCAGTGCCCCGTCTAGCACCCGCTTTATTCGCGTCAACAATAACGCCTCCGTGCCAGAGCTAGAGGCCTTCTCGCGCGCCTTCGGGTACGGACAGCTGCGGGAGAAGGAATTGTCTGCCCCGGTCCTGCGCCAGGTCGACGTCCCGGTCGTCCCCATGCCAGTGTGCAAGGACAAGTACTCGATGAGGAGCGCACCGCTTGCCCAGGAGCTGTCGGACGAGCTGCAGCTGTGCGCGGGGCGTCCGGAGGGCGGCTGCGACGCCTGCCAGGGAGACAGCGGCGGGCCACTGGCCGTCTTCGACGACGAGGGAAACCTGGTGCAAATCGGCATCGTCTCGTTTGGCATCGGCTGCGCACGCCCAAACTTCCCCGGCGTGTACACCCGCCTCTCCTTCTTCCAGCAGTGGATGATCGATACTGGCGCAGAATTTACACGCTCCACCGACGGACGTGTCATTGAATCGCAGGGCGTCAACCTCGACGAGTCCGGGGGGTTCTCCGTCGCAGGCCTCAACCTGTGGCAGAGCATCGCCGTCGTCGTCTCCGCGGGCGTCGTGGGCCTCGCCTTTATCGGCTTCCTCGTCTACCCCTTCGTCGCCAGGCGCTCCGCGCGCCGCCCACCAAGGGACGACGACCACGACATCGACAGCACAGACTCTGCAACTCCACCCCCGTCCGCGGCACATGCGGACCATGGCTACGGGCACTACTCTGTGGACGCCTCCCAGGACGGTTCTCTCGGCCCCAGGCCGCCGCAGACCGCGCCAGTGCCGGAGCCAATGCCGGTGTACGACCCGATGCGGTACGAAGGCGCCCCGCTTGCGACACACGCGCCCTCGGAGCAGCACTACGAGGGGCAGCTGATGCCGCCGTACTCGCACCCGAACGTGCCCCCGCCATATACGGAGCTGGACCGCTTCCCGCCGTACATGGACGTGCAGACACCGGCCCCCGTGTACCAAAACACTGTCCTGGAGAGCGGCTACGCTACCCCTTGGTCAGGGGATGGTATTGTGCGTCCACCTTCGCTTCCGGAAACACATGGAGATACGCTGGGGGACGTGCCTCCTGCACCTCTGTATCCCCTCAACAACTCCCATACTAACATACGGCGTCAATGAGGCGTCAATGAGGCAAGCTGAACTGCGATTTTTTTGTGTTATTGAAATGCGAGGCGGTGGCCGTTGGCGTATCGTCGAGCTATTTAGATTTGTAACTGTTCCGCTGCGGTCCCGGTCTGGCCCTTTGTTTGTTGTTTTTCGGGCGAGCGGAGGGTGCCGCCGTGTAAATATCTCGGATCTACTATTTTGCATATTGCGTGGCGAGCGTGATGTCATCCTTGCCGACGGGTTGTTGGGGGGACAGAGCACATCGACCCAGTTCGATTGGGTAGATACCCCCAAAATTAAACGCACGAGAGATCGAGTGTTGGAGGGGCGAATTGCAGATTATTAAGTTAGAGCAGATTCTTGTGCATTGAGACTAACTGCATGCTTTGGGAGATGACCCTTGTCGTTTCGGGAGACAACGGCCGTTAGCACCACTGGAGAACAGAGTTCGTTCACGCAAGAGAACACGCAACTGTATTGTACTGTACGTCTTTATCCAACCACAACCTTCGTTGCTACTTCAACTACTACACTAGCCCATGTTTAGCAAGACATTAGACCCCTTTGGCAAGTAGACGATATTCCTCGACCTGGAGAGGGTGGCGGAAATCTCCTTCGCGGCCTCAATTCTTCGCAGTTGCAACAGGCCATCTCCACTCTTTGACATAGCATCCGAAATGAGCTGGGCGGCCGTTGACTCTCCCTCGGCCCTAACAACTGCCGCGATCTTCTCCTGCTCCGCGACCTGCACAATGTACTTAGAGCGCTCCGCCTCTTGCTGCGTAACTTGCTTGGCCTCAATCGCCGACGCATACTCCCTTCCAAACGTGAGATGGGTCATAGAAACATCGTCCAACTCAATATTAAATTGCTTGGCCCTGGCGGTAAGCGTCTCCCTGATCTGCCTGGAAACGGCCTCTCTCTGCGTAAGCAGCTGCTCGGCATTGTACTGTGCGACAATCGCCTTGAGCACCTCGTTAGCGATGGACGGCAGCACGCGCTCGTCCCAGTCCAGGCCGAGCCTCGAGTAAATGGTGGGGAGCTTCTCCTTGTCTGGCTTGGACAGGACGCGCAGCGTGAGGTTGACCATCTGCAGATCATTGGTTCCTGTGACCGAGTTGATGGCGTGCGGACGCGTGCGGATGTCAAAGATGATGGGGCGTTGCACCCAGGGTATGCAGAGATGCATTCCTTCGCCGCGCACCTTTTCCTCGATACCGAGGAGGCGATTGAAAATCACGGCCCGTTGGCCGCCGTTGACGACGTAGAGGGAGGACTGGGCGGCCGCGCCGGCCACGCCCAGCACAATGGAGTAGCGGGCCAAGCGCGCGAGCCCGTTGGCGAGGGCAGTTGATCCGCCGCCGGACATAGTGGGAGAGTTAGGGGAGCACGGTTAGTGAGGAGGGAGGATCGGAGGGAAGATCGGAGATGAGGAATGGGGATTTGCAGATGTGGTTGCGGCCGGTAGATAAGAGAGGCGGATCAGATACGTGACATGATTGCAGGTGCAAAGCGATTCGTCGGCCACTGTGCCACGGCGCAGAGGGATCTTTTTTCGCATTTTTCTGCAAGCTTGAAAAACAGGCCATTTTCACGCCACTCCATTTCCGCGCCGCCATCCGCTCCTCCTCTTCATCGCCACCTCCCTGCTCCTTCGTCCGGCTCCTTCGTCCGGCTTGCGCTCTGCGTTGGGATAGCGGAGCAGTGTGCGCATGCCATGCAAATCCCGGGATAGTTGAGGGCAAAAGGCCTCCGACCTGTAGTCCCTTTCCACGCCCAGAGGAAACGGTCTTTGTTCAAAAACGAAATTTGTCCTCATCTTCGTGTTCACCCCTACTATCCACCGTCTACGTCTCACCACTTGCCGTGGAATCAAGTCGAGCTCGGGACTAACTTCTATTCGAAGCGCCCTGCTCTTCTCGTCTACACTTCTTTCCAGCACACTGGCGGCCGACTAACTTATGTGCAAAGCGCCCTGCTCTTTGCAGGAATAGAAGCTGTTCGGACAGAGCAGAGTATTACTAGCAAAGTGCCCTGCTCTTCTACTGCTACTCCAAACCTGAGTAATGGCTGGAATAGAAGCTGTTCGGACAGAGCAGAGTATTACTAGTGTCCCCATACTCCATGTCCTTACTCAACTCACTCGTCCAAACTGCTCAGGCCCCCAGCCCGCACACACCCTGTCTCTCCCACCCCGAAAGTCGTCGTCCCCCCCTTGCACTTCATGCACACCGTGGACCCAGCCGTATCACTAAACTCCCCCACCGGGCACTGTAGACAATCAAGCGGCCCATCTCCAATCGTCCCTGCCGGGCACGGAAGGCACCCCACATCTATTGACGATCGCGCGAACGACCCCGCCGGGCACCTTCTGCACTTCCCATTTACAAACGTCTTCCCCCGAAGCATTTACACCGTCCACTGTCTCCCGCCTCCCCGCGAGGGCACTTCGTGCACGTCTGTACCAGCCCCCCCGCACTAGCTTCGCTGTTCCGGCACCGGAAACACTTTCTCCGCTCTGCGTCGTACCGCTCGTTTTGGTAGCACTCCATACACCTCTTACTCGCTGCGAACGGAAATGGCCTCCCCAGGAACAAACCTCTCGGACAGCTTTTCGGTTGGCATTCGACCAAAGCGTACCCGTCTTCCACTCTGTCATGGTCTGGAGGGCAGTTGGATGCCGGGTTTATGCAACGAACATCCCTTCGCACAGTTCCCTTCGGGCAAGAGAAAGCTTCACATTTCGTCTGTCCTCGTAGCGGCTGCCGCGTTCCCGGGGGGCACCGCATGCACTCGCTCATTCCCGCCCGCGGCGCAACCGAGTGCGCAGAGCAGGGCCAGCAGAACCCCGACGTGCCAGCCGTGCCCGGAGCGCACTTTACCACTTGAACCGATCCGCCCGGTCGTCCTGCGTCCATCCATCTCTGCACACGCACGGGCCGGAGTAGGAGTTGTCGCTGTTTACGGAATTCGGAGGACAGCGCTCGCACGTCGTCGACCGTGCGCCCTTGCTGAAGTGGTCCCGCGGACAGGCCACGCACGTCTTGCGACTGACGTCCAGTCGCTCCCGTTCCGTACACTGCAGGCACGCCCCGCTCGGGCTCCGGAAAAAGTTGGGCGCACAGGCCGTGTTGTCCGGCATGCAGAACGTGGCGCCCGTCACGAACGAGTTCTCGCCGGGCTTGCACGCGCGGCAATTGTTCTTACCGTCGAGTTCATCTTCACTCTTTGAAGGTTCCAGCCGGGCATGGTACGCATTTCGTGCCCCCTTTGCGTGCGTTAGCGGCATGACCAGGTGGACACACGGAGCAAAAGAGGGTCGTGTTGTTCGAAAAAGTGAACCTCGTGCATGGGCTGCAGCGACCGCCTACACCTACAAGCTGTGTACCTGGGGGACAAGCCTCGCACTTGGAAGAGCGCGGGTTGAATCTGGTGTCACCGGGGCAAAGAGAACACTCAAGCGAATTTGGTTTGTCAGGGAAGGAGTTGCCGCCGCAATTGTAGCATTGCAGGTCCACAGAACGCTTGATCTTGCACTCGTGCTGAGAGAATGGACACGAGCCACATGCAAGGCTTTTAAAGCACATGCCGATGTCGTAGTGACAGAAGTCGTCGATGGACTGATCGCAGAGAGATATAAACTTGCCAGCGGGACAGGAGATGCACGGGACGGAACCCATCGGGGCGTTCGTACCCGAAGGGCATTTTTGGCATGCACTCTTGGATGTGGCTCCGCTGACATTCGAGAACGTTCCTTCTTGACAAGGGACACACACGTCAATTCCTTGGGCGCCTCGGTATGGGTTGTACGTTCCAGGTGGGCAGAGTGCGCAGCTTGTGGATGCTGTGTTGTTCTGATACGTGCCAAGAGCACAGTTTTCGCATGCTTCTCCGTTGAAAAATGTTCCGGCTTTGCAATCTCGTCTCACGGCCTCCGAGAAGAACAAAGCCTGAAGGAGAACGCCAACCCATACAAGAAGATATGTTCTCATCATCCTCAAGGGATCCGCAATTGATAATCCTAGGCTCGAAGTTCTTCGAGGTTGCGAATTTGATTTTGTTTCAGCACCTGTGCACAGGGGGGCCAGAGTGAATATATGTTCTGTTTGATTTACTTATTCTCGGTCTAACGAAAGCGGATGAAGATACCTTTGGCTTTCTTTCAACAGAAAACATGATCGCAATCTTGTCATTTTGAAGACATGCTTCAATAGGACCGTTCAATATCATATTCTCCCCTTGCCCCCAGCCTCCTTATGAATTCAGTGAACATGGCGGAACCTCAGCCGAGATCCATCAACGCATCATCTCTCCGGCGTATCTATGCTTGCACACAGCGCACACTGCAATAGGCGACAAACGTACGGCTAATAGCTGTAATCTTTGAGAAAAGCGGCTGCTATGACCTGAAAATTGATGAATGATTTGCTCGGCTGTCTTGTCCACAGGAGCACTGTTGGTCCTAACCTCTGATTCACTCATCGCTTTTTATTAAGGGGGAATACCTCCTCAAGGTTTCATCTCTTGTGCCCGTTGAATACAGAGTTCAGTGCTGCTATAGCCTCTACATAAAAGATGATTATGCGCTATAATGAGCTTGCCATAAAACGAATTAGTTGAAGTTTTTGTGCTTGTCGTTGTTTTCCAGTCGTGAGTCAGAACGAAACTGTAAGGGTAGAGGCGTTAGAACTAACACTTATCACTCGACCACCGAATTCAATAATGAAGAAGAGAGAATGACTGACACCCCCTAAGTTACTTAAGAGGCCTTGACAACTGTTTAGTCTGCGCTTCGCTGAGATAGGAGACACAGAGGAGTAGCCAAATGCTAGCCAAATGCTATTGGAGAAGTTTAACAGCCGTTCTTATGCAGATCGCAGTCTGGAACAAAAATATGCGTTGGACAAATCCCACTCAAGTGTTTATTGTACTTCGGAAGTGTTGCGGACTGCTTTTTCAAAAACCAAGCGAAGTCTGGCGACACCGTGAGAAAGAATGACTTCTTTGACGATGGTGCTCTCGTGACTAACGAAAGCTTCTTTGCTCTAACGATAAGAAGAATAAAAATATCTTTTGCAGGCCACGCTTCTGTCATTTGGGCAAGTTTTCGATTCTTGTGAAGCCAAATCCACAGATACTGGTGTCTCAACCAAAACCCGTGCATTGTCATCTGTTTGAATAGCGTCCTCCTAAATGTCGCATTGTTAATTACATCTATATCGAGGTTTAAAAGATTCGAATTAACTGCAACATCCACCGGTAATTTTCTGGTGGTGCCAGTAGTTTCTACCTGCTTGTACAGTTTAGCTCTGATTTTTGCTGCTTAGGTTCAAAGCAATTGTGATATGTTGCTGAAAACTATTTTTGAACTGCGCTGCGAAAAATCTGAATTCACGAGATATCGGACAACCCGGCTGGCTTCTTCTATATCGTAAATTGGCCTCAAATGAGACTGCTTTGCAACATATTCGTTTTGTACCCTTGCCATGTTCGTTTCAGACGAATGTCCCTACTGTTGAGTTGATCGGTATACCGATCATACGGTAAAATTGCAAAAACCGTATCATACCTCTATTGATCCGTATACTGATCAATAGACCCTTTTATGAAAAGGGGTGATATCCCTAGTATTTTGTCATATGTACGGTGCATCGTATATCGATGTTCACACCTCTAAAATGGCGCGGGCAAAGCTTCCTCGCCCATTTCATTATGATTTTTCTAAAGCCCCACCTGAGTTGAACATGCACTGCGTTTCAAGGCAATCGAACAAAAACTGGCGCAGATATCTCTGCTTCAAAATAGGGGTCAGCAGAGCCCATGAAACGTCCCAAAATGCTCATAGGTACAGTGTATCGTACATACAGCACCACTTCCGCGGACGTTTTACAGCATAAGCTAACTTGTTCGAGCTCGTAATCGCTCCTAGCGTATATCACCCTCACTTCCCCGACTTCGCACCGTCCCAGCGACACGCTATAGGTTCATTTGGCTAAGGCGTCTTACAGATAGCTCTGTCTCCATTCTATCGAGAGAGGAGCAGCAGAATAAACGTGATCTTTGAGAAAGTACATCAGCAATAAGGTATTGTCCATCTTGACCCCCTTGTTGACAGCTAAAAAGGGGGGCTGCGCGCGTAGGGGAGAGAGAAAAGCGAGATGTTTATTTCAAGAGAGGGGGGTCGGTCCGGGTCTCGTTGTTGTTTTCCCCCATTGCGGTGTGTCGCGGCACGCCACTTTCTCTTATAGAGGGGCCGCCATCATCTTCCACTCCACAGGACCGCCGCCCTTCAAAGGGAGATTGTCCACGTGTACACCTGGCGTACACGCGAACCAACAAAATCACCTTTTTGAAGGCTTTGGTCCTGGG